TAAATTCCGGGGCTGATTACATATATAGAATGGATGCAGAGGCCATAGTATAAAAGAGCAAGCCATTGGCTGCTTGCCCCCACATGAACATCCAGTCTATGTATCTCCAATCGTGAGCACATTTTATGTGTGGACATCCTCCAGACAACAGCAAGAGAGTTTCACCTATGTATCTGTGCCATAAAGACAATGGTGAGGGGACATGTGAAGCAGCTCCCAATGGTGCTGCTGCCGCCACAAGCCTCACCAATTCCAAGCAACATAAACTGCCTGAAGGGCATGAAGAGAGAATCACATATGCTGGGCATAATGTGACCTGCCTGTCGTCCCTTCAACTCCCTGGTATGACCAGTGAAGAAAAAAGATGAATCCTAGAGAATGACTGTAGACTCAATATTATGTCCTCCAATACATGCTGCTGTCCCTTTGGTGGCTGACTGTGGCTTCTGTCCCGGTGGCTTAAGCACTCAGACWTTTTTGCCCATCCATGGATGCCAATTGCCAGGTTTTGTTCGAGACTAAAACACTCAGAGGTCACTCTAGGGGAACTGGGCTGCATGAAATAACCACACAAGAGACAGAAATACCTTTTTCTTGGGGTTGCTGTGATGGTTCCTCTGACCTTAAGGGTCTGCAGAAAGACAGGCAGTACGTGCTGACCCTTTTATTGAGGTAAAGCCATTCAAATGAGGCAAGGGGTCAGGTTTCAGGGGGTTGAGTCTAGCTTCATGATGTCTGCTGTCAGCAGGTTGACTGACATCTAGGACGGCCACACCCAAGGGCACAGTAAAATAAGGGGACACACACAAAAGGTACTTCCATGGAACATTCTATCCCAAACAGGGCAAGGGGTAATATTACAAAGGAACAGGTGAGCATAGCTCCACCCATGGGGCTATAGGAAGGCACATGCCCATGCACGAAGACACTGTCCCTTGAACCCAAAGGGCGGGGCAGTCTACGGGCATGGCTGCTGCCTGACTGCCTCAGTCACCCAGCCAGGGAGTGACTTAGTCACGTGCAAGGTTGGTCTCCCACAGCTGACTTGATGGATTGACTAACGACTTTTGTAGCTGATTTGGCGAATGCCTTCTTTTCCATAGTTTTTTTTTTTTTTGTTCTTTTCCATAGATTCATAGATATTCCTGCTGATAGCGAAGTCTAGTTTGCTTGTTAGACCAGGATGCAAGAAAAGACAACTGACTCCAATTAAAATCAAATTAAAGCAAGCTTATTATTTCGACCGGCCGGGCTGCCTCTCCTACCCAAAACCGCGGGAACAAGACAGCAGCCGCAGCTGTCCTGCAGTCCAGCTTTATAGTCCAGAAAGTTACACAAAGKGGGGTTACAGATAACAAAACTCTGAGGAGCATAACACTAATGGTAGTTTACATTTTTGCTGGCCCCAACATCAGAATTTATGAAGGTCATTAGAGCCTCAGAAAGGGTTGTTATCTGGCCAGGGAAGGCCAAGATTTGTGAGGCGTCACTAAAGTTTCAGAGAAGGTTGCTATCTGGTCAGAAAGCCAGGCATGGGTGAGTTCAAGGCAAGGGCAGGCATTCCAAGCAGGTTCAGAATTTGCAGTAATTTATAGTAAAGCCGAAATTATCTTTTCATGGCTTTGTGGCGAGATGGCTCCCAATTTTAAGAAAAGATCAGGTTGGGTCTATCACTTCCCCTTGGGATGGGCAACAATGAACATTTACCATGCTGCCTCAGAGTTATTGCATTGTCCAGCTGTATCATAGCCTAGTAGCCTCTGACGTGGCCTAGTGGCCAAAACCATCCACTGTATGTCTATTTCACATTGTTGATGATATTTTGTTAACCAGTGATTCTCTTGCAGATTTAGAGATACTGTGCTGAAATTGCTAGCACAACCTTAAAATTCAGATATCTTATGTCTCCTTCCAATGATATTATATTGAGAAGTATTTTTGTACTGTCCCTCTGGTCAATTATGAATGCCCTCTTACTAATACATATTGAATCTGAGAAGCTCATAAAAGCACTTCTTTTTTTGGTACCAGGGATTGAACCCAGGGGCACATTAATCACTGAGCCACATCCCCAGAATTTTTTGTATTTTATTTAGAGACAGAGTCTTGCTATGTTGCTCAGGGCCTCGCTAAATTGCTGAGGTTGGCTTTGAACTGATTATCCTCCTGCCTAAGCCTCCTGAGCTGTGCCACCCTGTCTGGCATATGAAAGCACTTCTAAAGGTGTGATACCACCAGACAGCTCAGCCATTGCTGCCTACAATATTGTCCATGGACTCAGAATTGGCCTATATTTTGCCAGAGGGACAATTGCTTTTGTTAGTACCTGTAACTGCCTTGCCTCTTTGCCCTTAGGTACATATGGGCCAATATGCTGGCTCACTGCCATGGCAAATCAGTCCAGCATCAACCTCTAATTGGATTTGGTTGCAAACATGGAACACAACTGACCCTTAGTGGAATCATATAAAGGGCCATATTAAGAAAAATTTTTTTCTAGTTGTAGATGGACACAGTCTGTTTTATTTTTGTGGTGCTGCTGAGGATTGAACCCACTGGTTCAAATGCTAGGCAAGTGCTCTACCACTGAGCTACATTTTTGAAGATGTGTAACAGTAGGTCAATCTTTCATGACACGTTATTCAATATGGGATGGCTTTAGATGGCTCCCTACCGAAGTTGTAGAGCTTAACCAAGAAGCACCCTGTATGTTGAAAATAGAGGGCCATTAAGAACTGAGAGGTGGGAGGGAAAGGGAGTGAGAAGGGAGTGAGAAGGGAAATCGCATGGAAATGGAAGGCGATCCTCAGGGTTATACATAAGGACATATAAGAGGAAAGGAGGGGTAAGACAAGATAATACAAATCGAAGAAATGATTTACAGTAGAAGGGGTAGAGAGAGAAAAGGGGAGGGGAGGGGAGGGGGGATAGTAGASAATAGGACAGACAGCAGAATACATCAGACACTAGAAAGGCAATTTGTCAATCAATGGAAGGGTAACTGATGTGATTCAGCAATCTGTATATGGGGTATAATTGGGAGTTCATAACCCACTTGAATCAAATTGTGAAATATGATGTATTAAGAACTATGTAATGTTTTGAACGACCAACAATAAAAAAAAAAAAGAAAATAGAGGGCCAAAAGAACTCTGGGGTGGACCCTGCAAGCCTTATGCACTATAATAGTTAAAGGTTCTAACATGAAACGGTAGTCGTGCCTAACTTGTCCCTCAGAATATTTATGGGTATATGGACAACATGGATGTTCGTATTTACCTACCAAATGGACTGGCCAAAGCACTTGGGGAAGGTCATACCTCCCTCCCAGCAAAGGTTGAAAAGACCTTATTTGAGTGGTGATCCAGCTGGGACACTTTCAAGAAATGGCATCATATGAAATGTACTCCATGGTTTTTCACCCTAAGGGGCCACCATTGTTAATGAGAGATTAGAGTACTGGCACTGCATACAGAAAGTCCCAGGTGAGAGAGCCTTCAATGCCATCCACAAGTCCCTTAGCTTCTTCTTTTTTTTTTTTTTTTTTTTTAATATTTATTTTTTTTTTAGTTCTCGGCGGACACAACATCTTTGTTGGTATGTGGTGCTGAGGATTGAACCCGGGCCGCACGCATGCCAGGCGAGCGCGCTACCGCTTGAGCCACATCCCCAGCCCCCTTAGCTTCTTCTTAAAGGAAGAAGTGTACCAAATGAGTGAGGAAAGTAGTGTTAAAAAATCAGATGGCTTTTGATACACTGCTTCCCAAGGTGAAGTATGTCCTCTTGTAGACAGTGAATTTTGACTATATATACCACATGAGTGCCACAATGTAAGCAGGCACTGCAAACCCTAGCTCTTGAACTCAGCAAATTGAACATCTAACAATGGATCTCCTTCAAGAACCATGGGCTTCCCTGGCTGCCCCATGAAGATGGGTCTAATCTTTGCAAGGAACAACTTGTGTTATTAGTAACTTGCTGTTGTGACTTAAATTGCTGCTGTGGGTTATGGGAACAGTGCTCTGCCCTCCTTGCCAAGGGACCTTCACAGAAGACTCCTGTTGTGTAGACTGTATGGTGTGGAAGCAATGATAAAGCTGTCTTATGCAAGTCAGAAACAGCACTTGTGCACTCTTATTGACCCACTGCAGGCTTTGTTGCAATTGTAATAAGCTGAATGGGACTTTCTGCGGCAGATTGCTCACTCATAGAATAAGGGCAAGACAGATCTCCTATGGATCCACTTATCTTTTTCAGGATGCCTAGGATTGAACAGTTGCACTACACAGCCTCAACCTGGGGACTGAAACTTGGTTTATGAGTGCAGTAGCAACAGTCCTCAAAGTATTTCTATGCTTTGCTGGTAGTTTAGGAAACTTATTCATTGCTCTAGGGAGCCTATTTACCCTGTCGTTTCATTTTATATTCTCTCCACCATCTAGCCAGAAATGAAAAATTATCTTCTACACTGAAAACCAAAGAGAGTTAGAAAACCCAAACCATACCCAACTTGGCAAATTTAAAATTTTAAATGCTGCAATTTGTAGGATGTGAGGAAGGCACTAGTGCTCTGCAATTCCTTGAAGTTTGAAAAACTATTAGGCAATTAAGACAAAAGTTTTAACAGCTAGTTGATAGCCTTTATTTGCAGAAATTTACTCTATGCAAATAAAACAAATTTATATACAAAAATGCACCCCAACATTAGCATAATGGTAAATTAATCCAACACACTATCACACATGACTGGGTAAAAATTTTAATTATATGCATAGTAATATACTGGAATAAACTTCAAACTACTATTCTTTGGTTAACTTTATAGGAATATAATCATAAGTATATATTATATACTTTTGTAATCACGTATGTATTACTTAATGTAAAAAAGCAATAAAGCACCTTTTTCATTTTTGGTCAAAACTTCATCCACATTACATTGTTTCCAGGACTGAGGCCTCACAGCACTATTTGGTGTTAGAGGCCTTTTTCTAACCCTGTCCCCCATCCTCAAGATCCTGCTACTCTTTTTCCTGAAAGTCATTCAACATTTTTACATGCCTTGCACCATATCTGATTCTGATTAGGAAAAAACACTTAGGAACTGATGTAAAATTAAATTCTGGTTACATAATTATGGAATGACAGTCTTAGAAGAGCAAAAGATAACCAATCACAAGTATAAAAAGAGCTTTATTAGTGCATATATACAAATTTACAAGGTCAGAAACTGGAGAAATACAAACAGCTTTAAAACACAATTTGCCTTTTCTTCAGTTTAAAGTGACTTTACCTGATTGTGACACAATAGAAAATACAGAACAATAAATTGCTTTTTAAATACTGGAATTTTATGGAGAATACATTCACACATAGAAGGGAGGTGGATTTTGGAACACAGTAAGACCATGAAGACGCATTAACACAAAGTGGCTTTGTGAAATTTACTGCCACATACTTTGAGGGAAATTTCTGAAAATCAAGGATATGAACACCGGCTGCTACTGCTGCCTGCATTAAAATTTAAATATGCCACCTAGAGTGTAAGATGACTATCAATTCTAGGATTTGTGAGAAAGGGCTACTCTTTAAGGTATATCACTCTACAGATCTCAACACTTCAGGGGTGGCAGCCTGGAGGAAGAGTTCAGAAAGAGCTCCTGATGATTGCAGTCAAGCAAGGTAGAACACAGAGCTTCCTTCTTAATTGCACTTGTTCTTGAGTAGGAATCAGAGAATGTGCCACATTAGGAATGAAAGAAGCCTCTATTAGGCAGGAAAATCCTTCACTTTGTCAGCAAGCCCTCTACAGGAGCCATACTCATGAGCCACATGTTCTTCGATTGATCGACTGATACCTAACATGCTAAATTTGCCAGTGTGAGAATAAAGGTAGTCAGGTCAAAGCAATTCCAATTGCCTCACCCTTCAGCAAAACAGAAAAATTACATTTCACAAATGGACAACTTTGTACATGTATGCTCTTGCCCAGGAAATGCATATGCTCACCCCCATTACATTTATAGTTTATTTGACAATAGTAAAACTGGCTAAGACTCTGAACTGAACACAAAACAATTAAATTTTTTTTTTTTCAACTATGTGTTTGGAGCCATTTTCCTTCTCTTTAGTCTTGCTCTCCAATCCTCAGGAAGGGCTTCAAAATTAGCATTTCTCTCTGCCATGCCACTGTGAAAACAACACACATATTACTTCACTGGAAAGAAAAAGAACAAAACTATTCAAACAAAACAAAAACATCTAATTTAAACTAAAAACCTGAACATCAGGAAGTTTAGAGTTTCTCAGCAAGACAGTACATTCTCCTTTGAGGTCTATGATTTCAAGAATATGACTGTTCTAAGATAAGASCAACACCATTACTCCCACAACCCATGTGCCCCTAACTAAATTTTTTGTTTGTTTGTTTTTACCTAACCAGCTGCTGCTGTTTCCACTCTTCAATTCGCTTCTGTGCAGTTGATTCCCGATCCTCTTCACTGGAACTTGAGTTCTCTTCTTCATCTAATTCACGCTGGATACTCTGCCACTTCTTTACTAAAGATGGCATTTTGGTTTTACTTTTCTTTGCCTGTAATAAATGTTAAAGATCAGAAGGAATATAATCCATAAAATAAGGAAATAGGACCTCTACAAGGAGATCAAGATCTTTCCCTGATTCTAATGAATAAGTGGACTTCATAGCATAGGTATGATATATTTTTTTGGTACTGGGGATTGAAGTCAGGGGCACTCAACCATCCCTAGCCCTTTTTATATTTTATTTAGAGACAAGGTCTCACTGTGTTGCTTAGGGCCTCACCATTGCTGAGCCTGGCTTTGAACCCGCAATCCTCCTGTCTTAGCCATCCAAGTTGCTGGAATAACAGGCATGAACCATTGCGCCCAGCAAGGTATGATATTTTATTAAAGCATGGCAGAAATGTTTCCCTTACCATTCCTATTCTATATCCTGGCCCCCTCCTGAGGTGGGGACAGAACCCAGGGCCCCATGCTAATAAGTGCTCTCTTGTCAGATGCTATGGGTGCATGCCTGCAATCCAGCAACTTGGAAAGCTGAGGCCTTAGGCAACTGTGCAAAAACTTGTCTCAAAAAATAAAAAGGGCTGGGAATGTAGCTTAGTGGTAATGCACTCATGGATTCAGTCCCCAGTATATGTGTGTGTGTCTGTATGTGTATATAAAGTGCTCTACCATTGAGCTACACCCCCAGTCTGTTTAATAGGTATCAACTGGTTTTGTTGTTCTTTCCAGAAAAGCTGGATCTTTATTTTTCAGCTCTATTGTTTATCACTTAAAATGAACACTGAGGAGACAACAACAACAATTTTGAATTTTACAGAATTGGAAGGTTAAAGTCAGGAAAACACAACTCAATGAGTACTTGCCTCTTGCCTAGTATATTCAAGGCGCTGGGTGGGACCCCCAGGTTGGTGGTGGGGGGAAGCTATGACATTAAAGTATTAATGATAAATTACTTCCGAAATATGGTATTATAATTTTTTTCTTTTGGCTTACCTTCATTTACTAAAAATTTTCATAATAAAACACGTACTTGGCAAAGTAGAAATAAATATTCAAAATGGTCTGTTCTTTCATTATTATTTTGTGGTATTGGGAATTGATGCACAAGGACCTGGGTTCAATCCCCAGCACCACCACCAAAAAAAAAAAAGGGGGGGGGGGATTAAACCCAAGGTCTCACACATGCTAGGCAAGTGCTTCATCACTGAACCAYATTCTCAAGCCACTGGCTTGCTCTTTTATTACATTCAGGCTTATGATCATTGTCACACTAGCACAGAAGCCACTGCCTTCTGAGAGTAGCACCTTCCAAAGATCACATCTGTCCTCTTACACTGCTTATTTTTCTTGATGGTTTCATTTAAAATATCTACTAGGTTTCATTTATTTATTTATAAATCGATTACATGAATAAAGTCTCCACAAATGTGAAAGAAGAGCTTAATATTTTCAGACTTTTTATATTTATGTGGTTTTCTGCTCCATACCCTACTTTTTTCGGGGGAAACCAAGGATTGAACTTAGGGGCACTTGGTCACTGAGCCACATCCCTGGCCTTATTTTGTATTTTATTTAGAAACAGGGTCTCACTGAGTTGCTTATGTCTCAATTTTGCTGAGGCTGGCTTTGAACTCGTGATCCTCCTGTCTCAGCCTCCTGAGCCACTGGGATTACAGGCGTGGGCCACCATGCCTGGCCTTCACACCCTGCTTTGACTGTCATTGATAGTTCCTATTTTCTGGGAAAAGGAGTGCACATCTATTGTGCTCAGCCTTTAGCTCCCTCTACATACATTCTCACATTCCATTCTGTCACTTCATCTGTGGCACAAACCATCCTATTACAAACATCCTTCCAACAAGCTCAAACACGGTTCATTTTGGGAAAGCATGAAGCTAACCAAATAAAAAGTAAGATGGATTAATAATGATCCCAAGAAGCTCATGGGATTAAAATCTCTCAACCTCTGCAAACCTAATTTAAAAACCACAGACCTAAGTATAATCCTTGTGTTTCACTTTGAATTCTATAGAATTCAATAAATTTCTAGTATATTTGATTTCATCTGTCATGGGAAAATAAATTTTAGAAGTCATGTATGCCCTATTACACTTGAAACCTTGGGTCCAAAGAGTTGCAGTGGCTATTTGAGTACACTTTAAATAGGAGAACATGGCAGTCAGAAAAACAAAGAGTAAATGGTCAGAACTCCTTTGTTCTACTTTATTTTTTCTTTTGTGGTACTAGAGACTGAAGTAGGGCCTCACACATGGTAGGCAAGTGCTCTACAACTAAGCTACATTGCTGGCCCTTTTTGAGAAAGGATCTCATTAAGTTGCCCAGACTGGCCTCAAACTTGCAATCCCCCTCCTGCCTCAGACTCCCAAGTAGCTGGGATTACTGGCACATGCGACCATATCTGGTCTTTAAACTAATTTCCTATTAAGCTGCCCATAAAACTCTTCAGGAAAGACTGAAATGTTAAGAATATAGAAAAACTGCCTGTCAACAAGGAGACAGGTCATTATTTATTTTTAGATATCAGGTATATAAAAATGAAGTACTATCTTAACATTCTAGAATTTTACAGAATTATAAGACAGTGAAAACAAGACTGGCTAAAAATATTACTTGTTGAATAAATGGAGGAAAAGTAAGTTATCTCTATTGGAGAGTCCTCAGAAGACTTCATAAAGGAAGTAATTCCTAACATTTGATTGTGTAAAAAATGAACTGTAGTGGAACTGGTGGACAAAGGCATGGAAAGTGGTAAATGATATGGTAGTTCAGAAGAATACGTTATAGATTAGCATAGCAGATGAGATAGCAATTTGTTTACAACACTGTTTTAATTGTCATTCTTGATTTTTTAAAAATATTTTTTTTAGTTGTCAATGGACCTTTATTTATTGACACGCGGTACCGAGAATCAAACCCAGTGCCTCACACATGTGAGGCAAGTGCTCTGCCACTGAGCTATAACCCTAGCCCTCATTCTTGAGTTTTATAACATTTACTTTACTTCCAGATAATTTCTGGAGCCATGTCAACAACTACAGAATGACTAGAATAGCATTGTGGGAACTCTGGAAATCAGTCAAAGATCTGCAACAGCCACTGAAAACTGAATTTTAAAAATGCCACACTCAAAATGATAAGGAAACTTTGAGACACTTTTCTTGCCTCAGTTACATTCCCTCCCCAGTGTGGCTGGGAGGAAGTGGTGATCTCCCAGTTCCCTCTCTTATGAATAAAGGAAAAGAATGGATGTGCTTGCAATCTTCTAGCCTGTCTGTGGCTGCCTGAGGGACTGATCTTTGTACTGCCTGCATTGGACTTCAGATGGAGGCCAAGATAGGTAGTGATGGACACTGAGAAAACTGGAGAGGGGCTAATAAACTGGCAAATGCCCAAGTTTAAAATGGTCTCTAGGGGCTGGGGATGTGGTTCAAGCGGTAGCGCGCTCGCCTGGCATGCGTGCGGCCCGGGTTTGATCCTCAGCACCACATACCAACAGAGATGTTGTGTCTGCCGAGAACTAAAAAAAATAAATAAATATTTAAAAAAAAACTTAAAAAAAAAAAATAAAATGGTCTCTAGGTGACATTATTCAATAGTAGAAAATCCTAAAGAATTCACACACACACAAATACACAAATACTACTAGAACTAACAAATTTGGCAAAGTCACAGTGTATAAGATCAATACACAAAAATCACTTCTGTGTCTACATACTAGCAAAAAGGAATCTGAAATCCTGGTGATACTGTCCAAAAGAATGAAATAACTAGGATAAATGAAACCAAGAAAGCAAAAAACATGTATTCTGAAAACTACAAAACACTGCTGAAAAAAATGAGAAGGCCTAAATACATGGAAAGAAATCCTATGTTCACATGTCAGGAAGTTGATGAACAATATACCAATTATGTGTGCAATCCCTACCAAAATTCCAATGGCCTTAAAAATTGTAGTGGCTTTTTTAAGGCTTTATTAATTTTTTTTTAAGTTGTAGGTGGACACAATATACTTTTATTTAGTTAATTAATTTATTTATTTTTATGTGGTGCTGAAGATTGAACCCAGTGTCTCACATGTTGTCAGGCAAGCACTCTACCACTTAGCTACGTCCCTGGACTCTCTTATGGCTTTTTTTAATGCAGCAATGAAAAAAGTGATTCTCAAACTGTATGGAATTGTAAGGTGTCCCAAATAGCTAATATTGACTCATACTTTCCAAAACAAAGCTATAAGCTATACTAACCAATATGGTCAGGTGATTTCCAGCAATAGTGCCAAAAACATTCAATGGAGGTAGGAATAGTCTCTTTGACAATTGGTGCTAGACAACTGATTATACACATGCAAAATGAAGCAGGAATTTTACTTTGTATCTTAATAAAAAACAAAGTTGGGTGTGGTGGCTTGGGAGGCTGAGATAGGAGAATCCCTAGTTCAAAGCCAGCCTCAGCAATGGGGAGGCACTAAGCAACTCCATGAGATCCTGTCTCTTAAATAAAATACAAAAAATAAGGCTGAGGATGTGGTTCAATGGTCAAGTGTCCTTGAGTTCAATCCACAGTATGTATGTGTGTCTGTGTGTATTTTATATATACCCACCACCAACAACAAAAAAACAGAAACCCTCCAAATCTATGGTCAATTATAAATTCTAAAACCATAACTCTTTTAACCTTTTAAAATTTTCTTTTGAGACAGGGTCTTCCTACTAAATTACCCAGGCTAGCCCTGAACTTGTAGTCCTCCTGTTTCAGCTTCCCAAATACTTGGGGTTATAGACAAATACCAATGTACCAGGTTATAGAACACTTAAAATAGGAAAAAATCTTCATGACCTCATATTTAGCAATGGATTCTAGACATGACAACAAAGACATAATTCAGGCTGGGTACAGTGGCACATGCCTGTAATCCCAGTGGCTCGGGAGGCTGAGATAGGAGGACCATGAGTTCAAAGTCAGCCTCAGCAATGGCAAGGCGCTTAGCAACTCAGTGAGACCCTGGCTCTAAATAAAATACAAAATAGGGCTAGGGGTGTGGCTCAGTGGTTAAGTGCCCTGGTTAAATTCAATCCCTGGTACAAAAAAGAAAAAGAAAAAAAAAAAAAAAAAGAAACTGAGAAAATGAACTCCATTTAAGAATTTGCTCTTCAGGGTTGGGGCTGTAGCTAAGTGGCACGGTGCTTGCATGTTACATTGGGTTCAATCCTCAGCACCACATAAAAATAACCAAATAAAATAAAGGCATTCTGTCTACAACTACAAAAAAAATAATTTGCTCTTCAAAAGATATCATTAAGCCAGGTGTGGTGGCGCATACCTGTAATTAGCCACTTATGAGGCTGAGGTAGAAGGATCTTGAGTTCAAAGCCAGCCTCAGTAACTTATCAAGGCCCCAAGCCAGTTAGTGAGACTCTGGTCTCAAAATAAAAAATAAAAAAGGCTGGGGATGTAGCACAGTGGTAGAGCACTCCTGTGTTCAGTCCCTAGAACCAAAAATGATAAAAGGACAAAGGTTCCAAAGAATCATTTCTTCAAAGAAAATAAACAAATGGTCAATAATAACCTAATCTGGGCACAGTGGTGCATGCCTGTAATCCCAATGGCTCGGGACACTGAGGCAGGAGGATYTTGAGTTCAAAGCCAACCTCCAAAACTTAGTGAGGTACTTAGCAACTCAGCAAGACCCTATCTCTAATAAAATATTAAAAAAGAGCTGGGGATGTGGCTCAACGGTTAAGCATCCCTGGGTTCAATCCTCATTACCAATAGTAATAATAATGACAACAACCTGAAAAAATATGCAACATCATTAGTCACTAGAGAAATGGAAATCAAACTATGATAAAATACCACTTCATATCTACTAGGATGGACATTATCACTCAAAAGATAGAAACAATCCAAATGTCCATTAAGTAATAAATGGGTAATTGTGATATATATGCACAATGGAATTATTAATTTAGTCACAAGGAGGAATGAAGCACTGATACATGGCTATGTACATGAATCTTGAAATCATGATGCTAAGCAAAGAAAGTCAGACACAAAAAGTCACAAACTGCATGGCTATATTTACAAGAACTATTCAGAATGATAAATCCACTGACAGAAAGCAGATTGGTGGTTCCCATGGGAAGCAGAAGGGAATAAAGGGGAGAAATTGCCTAATGGGTACAGATGAGGTAGTTTTTTGGGAAAATTAAAATATTTTGTAACTAAATAGAGATGGTGGTCGCAAAACATTGTGCATGTATTAAATGCTAAAGCACTGTTAATTTTATGCTATATGAATATCATCTTAATAAAAGTGTTTTGAAATAAAAAGAAATTTTTTGGTATTCACCTTTTCTTTCTTTCCTTTTTTTGTCTTTTCTGGTGGTGGCATTTTGGGAGCTGGTGGTGGTGGTGGTGTAGGTGGAGGAGGAGGAGGTGGAGGTGGTGGTGGTTCTATAATGGCAGTGGCTGGCACAGCACCTCGGGCCTGAACTGGCTGTAAAGAGGCAGAAGTCACTCCAATAGGGACAGAACATTCAGCATAACTCATAATTGTAGATGCTGCTGCAAGTCCAAGGTAATTTGACTGGAGGCTCATTCCTCTGGCCTGATGACCCATTCCTGCTGCTGGATGGCTAACTGATATTGCCTGGTGTCCAATCCCAGTAGCCTGGTGTCCAATCCCTGTTGTCTGGTGACCTAACACAGAAAAAAAAATACTATTTGATAAATCTTTCCCTTAAAAAACAGCCATATTTGCTGGTAGCAAAATAGTAATTTCTAAATATCTTAAAATTAAAGTACTTAAACACATAAATCACTGATGTATGAAAATGCACACACACACAAAAAAAAAACAATCTGGAAGACTACACCAAACCATTTCAATGGTGGCTTTTAGGAACTAGAAGAAATACATATAAGCAGTCTTTGCAATCCAAAAAGTCTTTACTGTTTCTTCAAGTTATGGTATCTAAAACTGGAAACAAAGAAACACTACACTGAGAAAAATGCAGTTTAATCATGATGCTTACCTGTAGCTATAGCTGCCTGGCTGTAGAGAACAGGAGAACTACCAATAGTAGCAGATCTCTGAACTACTGCAGTACTAATTTCTGTAGCTTTTCTCTTTATTGCTTTAGTGGAAGGAGAACTAGAGATCGTAGCATCAACTGAACTCTGAAACACAAATATTCTGGTCAGTGACAGGTGGCCATGGTTAAACATACTCTTCTAAAATAAAATGGTTCCAATCATGCTGTAGTCCCCACAACCAGCCAGAATGCTAAGGACATTACTTACCTGGTTAGTTACAACAGTGGGTTGGGCTGCTGAAGGGTTCAAAGGAGTGTCCTCCTCTGTTCCTGGGGCAGGAGGCTCCTCACTTCCCTCATCTTCCATCTCTACCTCCTGGATCTCACCATCTTCTACAGGAGGAGGTGGTGGCGGAGGGGGAGGAGGGGATTCTGGGGGTGGGGGAGGAGGTGGTGGCATTTCCAAGGGTAATGGAGGTTGAAGCACAGGCACATTTGACTGAAGGAGAGTCCAGAATGGAGTAAGTGGCATCAGTGAAGAGGAAGAAACTTGGCCAGAAAAGGATTCTTTACAAAGAGAACCTATGAAAACAGATAGGAGTCAGGGGAAAAAAGCAAGACAAATTTTCCATTGGTAATATTCAGAGTAATATTCAGCTGATTGGTGAGACAAATATCAATATCAACCTAGGATAGTATGGTCAGTAGTTTCAAGGACTGGCTTCCTGTTTCCTAACAGAATCTGATCCCTCTACACACCTATTGTACTTTGGTTTCACTGAAATAGTAAAACAACTTAATCCAGAAATAACTTTCACAGGAAAGTTAAATGGACGGATATCATAGCACTTTCCCCAGCTGTTATAGTCTTCTCTGGGTCCAGATTTATGAATAAGTAAATGAAAAGCATCAATAACTCAATGAGAAATTTGGTCATCTCAATCAGTAGTTTTTTTTGTGTGTGTCTGTGTGTGTGCGCGCGCCAGGGATTGAATCCAGGGGTGTCATCACTAAGCCATATCCCCAACCATTTTTTAAAAAGTACTTTTTATTTTGAGTCAAGGTCTTGCCAAGTTCCTTAGGGCCTTGCTAAATTGCTGAGGCTGGTCTCAAACTTGTGATCCTCCTGCCTTAGCTTCCCAAGTCACTGGGATTACAAGCATGTGCCACTTGCCTGGCTGGAATTTTGTATTTCAAACAATATTTCAACATACACAAGAAGAAACAATCCTGGAGTCTATTTTTGTTACTGGGGATTGAACCCAGGGGCACTTTACCACTGAGCTACATCTCCAGCCCTTTTTTTATTTTTAATTTTGAGAGGGTCTTACCAAGTTGCTCAGGGACTTGCTAAATTGCTGAGGCTGGCCTTGAACTTGTGATACTCCTGCTTCAGCTTTCTGAGTTGCTGGGATTATAGGCATATATCACTGCACCAGGCTTGATTTAGTAGGTTTAAAAATTCTTTTTAAGGTGTTACTGTTGACTCCTATTCTTTCATATCTCTGTGTAAATCATTTTCATTTGCTAAATCACAGCAACATAAGTGAGGTAATTTTTAGTTCTGTGATGATAAGGGGAAATTCAGGAGGACATATCTTCAAAGTAAGTGGTAACTCAGATTTTTGAAGAAAGTATCTGAAGATGCAGAGGATTTTAAAATGCTTAGCTGAAGTTTGAGTTAAACTGTTCCAGAGGTGGACATGGTGGCACACAACTGTAATCCTAGCTACTCAGAAGGCTGAGGCAGAAGGATCACAAGTTCCAAGGCAGCATGGGCAACTTAGTGGCAAAAGCACCCCTGGGTTCAACCCTTTGTACCCAAACCAAACCAAATCAAAAAAACAAAAACAAAAACCACCCACAAACAACAACTACTACTGAAAAGCTGCAGGATCAGCTTTTTCTCAAATTTTGCAAAGCCACCACTGAATGCTGTGGTTTTCTCTGTTGGGAAACACTTTTAGAGATTAGAGAAAATAGTAGGATATACTTACTTGTAGCCTTCCCCATCCCTCTTTATCGTCAATAGGAAAGTTTCACAATATATGGGACTATTAGATATATATCCCAGGAATGTTGAGGGGATTTTCTCCCTAAAAACCATAGAATTTAGGAGTAGAAGAAACATGAAAAATCATCTAGTTCAACTTCCTCATTTTTAAAAGGTAATGAAACCCAGGCAGGAACTGACTTGCCCAAGATCACATGGCCATTAGCAGCCAGACCAGAGATAGAACTGACTTCTAGCCTAGTGTTTTCTGTTTTATCAAGATCCCTGATGAAATATCAAGAGTTCAAGAACCTTAGAAATCTCTGTCAAATACTCTCACTTCTCATAGAGTAGATATTCAGTTGTAGTCTCTTGTCAAATTTCATGGTCAAAAGTAGATTAACTAAGGGCTCTATTGAAAAGAAGGTCATTTAAAATATACTGCTTTRGCACTTGACAAGGTAAATCCAGGTGACCAAATTTACTTTTTAAAGATACAGCACATGGTACAGTGTATAAATACTTTTAACAGTTTTCCAGCTAAAGGAATTCAAATTATTCATTAAATTTTTGTACTTGGAATTAGGTAATACTAATTTATACACTAACTTTCAGACAAATGAAGTCTGGGTATGACCAGAAAGCCTACATTATAAAACAGGACATCAAGATTACATCAGAACTAAGGCAATAAACATGGAAGATTAATGACTTAATTAGCATTAAAGAATTAAACATCCCTGTACTAAACACGACAAATGGTGGACAAATAAATATGTCAGATTTGATGATATTGTATGTTTATGATGGTGACATGCTGCAATGCGGAGGAACTCAAGGAAACAAAGTGGGTTCAGGGTTAATAATGTGGTTTGTTTTATCACCTCCAGCAAAGCTAGGGAGAATTAATTAAACCTTGTGTAAATACAAGATTAAACCACATTTGATAAATTCAGCCATAAACAAGGAGCATTTTTAGAATATGTAAATCCCAAAGTAAGTTTACTCAAATCATACAAGCTGTATCTAATACACTGATAATTACCTCTTGTAGTTTAAGTACAAAGAATTTCAAGAAATCCCAGGTGGGAGTACTGCAGATGTCTATTAAAATGATGCTTATATTTGTTTCTAAATTTATTCTAGTTGGTGTTTTTGCTATTTTGCCAGGAATGGTGGCATAGGCCCATAATCCCAGCAATTTAGGAAGCTGAGACTGAAGGATCACAAGTTCAAGATGAACTTCAGTAACTTAGTGAGAACCTGTCTAAATAAATAAATATGGCTGACAATGTGGCTCAGTGGTAGGGCAGCCCTGAGTACAATCTCCAGTATCACTAAGAAAAACAAGAGAAACAAGAAAGCATTTAATTCTAATGTTCAAGGAGAGATTAAAATGGCACAAAGCATTTACCATGTGCTAAAACTTTTAAATAACTAATGCTTAGTGTTTTGAATTAAGAAGAGGTTAGCAATATAAAGCAAGAAATTATACAAAAATAGTTTCACAGGTTAAAAAGACAGCTAAATTTAACTAAGTGAAATAAATTTATTAAGGTTAAGGATAGAATAGGGTGAGGATACAAATTTTTAATTCTAGCCTTTTTTTTGGGTGGTGGTGGTGGTGGTGGTACCGAGGATTGAACCTAGTGGTGCTTAAGTACTAAGTCACATCCCCAGCCCCCCCTTTTCAGGGCATTTTTTATTTACAGACAGGTTCTTGCTGAGTTGCTTAGGGCCTACTAATTAAGTCGCTGAGACTGGCTTTGAACTTGAGATCCTCCTGCCTCAGCCTCCTGAGCCACTGGGATTACAGGTGTGTGTCACTGCACCCAGGCTAGGTATTTTAATTTCTATTTATAGGCAGTCTTCTTTTATTTACCCCCAAAGAATAACTAATGCTTAGTGTTTTGAATCAAGAAGACAGTTTAGCAATATAAGTCAAGACACTATAGTTTCACAGATTAAAAAGACAGCTAAATTTAATCTAAGTGAAATAAGCCGAGCAAGAAAGACATGTCAGATATCTTGAAATATCATCCAATCTTTAGAAACATGATATTAAATTCAAATGGTGAAATGATGAGCAAGGATTAAAAATGAAATAAAACTTAAAATATCCTTGGCTCCTTAGAATGCAGTAATTTCTCTTTTCATTTTGTGATGCAGAAGATTGAACTCTGGGCTTCAAACATAATTACTAATTATTCTACCACTGAGCTACACCTATAGGCCCCAATTTTTCTTCTTTTTTTTTTAAAGCAGTACTGCTGTAGTACCCAGCAGAACCTCACACATGCTGGGTAAGCACTCTACCATTAAGCTACCACCCAGCCACCATATTTTTCTTTTAAATTTTTTGAGACAGACCCTGTAAGCACCTGTTTATGCTGAGGTGCACATGAGTGAAAGAGGACCCAGTGTGGAAAAAAAAATGTTAACACATCACAGATTTGCGTGCCATCCTTGTACAGAGTGATCTCTCTATTGTTCCATTTTTTAGTTTATGTGCTACTGAAGCAAGTACCCAATTTTGCTTTTATAAAGGGTGGTATTATTCACTGGTAAGCCAACAAAGAGCAAATGTATATTAAATACTCTTTAGAGACTTACAGCAATAGTAGTCAGTATTGCTTTAAAATTCTATAGACCTTGTATAAGATTTGATTTTTTTTCAAGATAAAGTTTATCATACTAGATCTACCTTTTAGCAGATAATACCAACAGATGTATCATACATGAACAAGGAAGAAAACCAGCTTAGAATCCAACTTTAGTGTGCACACATTTCAAGAGTTGGTAATTGTATTTAACTTTGGAACATATAAAAAAAGGACATTAGACCATGGTCAGGACCACCAGTAGAACTATCAACTCTCTTCAGTCCATTAATTACTAAAAAGCAAAAAAAAAAAAAACAAACACTACACCAAGCATGTCTATCACTGTTATCAAAATAGGGGTAAAGTATGCATAAGAAAATCTCATCATGAAAAAAGGGAAGTGAAATATTCTGTAACATGAGAAAACACACTCTGAAATTTGAAGTAGAATAAAACCATTTTAAAATGACCACTTAAGTCTTATGTGGCTTCGATATGTTATTTAAGAAGTTAATAAAATCGACCTGGGGTTGTAACTCAGTGGTAGAGCACTTGCCTAACATGTGTGAGGTACTGGGTCTAATCCTCAGCACCACATAAAAATAAGTAAGTAAAAATAAAGGTAGCGTGACCATCTACAACTAAAAAAAAAAWAATAATAATAATCAGCTCTTCACTTCCTAGGTCACCAACAAATTCCATCTCTTTTTATTTTCAAAGGGCTATTACTTTAGAAACCATTCCATAGCCTCTTGCATTCATATGACACTTTAACACACAAACACTAGTTGCTTACGATCAAAAGGTTATTATCGTTTTGTCTCTATTTCACTATTCATTTTTGTCATTCAAGAAAAATGCACTTGAGGGAAAAACAAATCTTCTTTTGTAAAGTACCAATCAAATTTATAGCTCTTGAGCTGGGCACGGTGGTGTGCACCTGTAATTCTAGTGGCTCAGGAAGCTGAGGCAGGAGATCAGGAGTTCAAAGCCAGCCTGAGCAAAAGCAAGGCACTAAGCAACTCAGTGAAGACCCTATCTCTAAATAAAATAGAAAAAAGAGCTGCAAATGTGGCTCAGTGGTTAAATGTCCCCGGGGGTTCAATCCCTGGTACGAAAAAACAAAAATTATAGCTCTTCTTAAGAGCTAATTAGAGGGGCTGGGGGTCATTGCTTAGTGGTAGATCTATGTGTAAGGCACTGGGTTTGACCTCAGCACCATATAAAAAAATAAATAATTAAAAAATGGCATTGTGTCCATCTATAATAAAAATACTTTTTTAAAAAACAGTAAATTAGGGGGCTGGGGATGTAGCTCAAGCGGTAGCGCGCTTGCCTGGCAGGCGTGCAGCCCGGGTTCGATCCTCAGCACCAAACACAAATAAGATGTTGTGTACGCCAAAAACTAAAAAAATAAATATTAAAAAATTCTCTCTCTSTCACACTCTTTCTTTAACAAAACAAAACAAAACAAAACAGCAAATTAGAGCTGCAGATTAACTGAGGAACTATGAAAATCTACTTATTAAGAAGAAAAGAAGGGGCTGCGGATGTGGCTCAAGCGGTAGCGCGCTCGCCTGGCATGCGTGTGGCCCGGGTTCGATCCTCAGCACCACATATGAACAAAGATGTTGTGTCCACCAAATACTAAAAAATAAATATCAAAAATTCTCTCTCTCTCTCACTCTCTCTTAAAAAAAAAAAAAAGAAGAAGAAAAGAAGTACAAGGGCTGGGGTTACAGCTCAGTCAGTATTAGAGCGCTTACCTAGCTTGTGCAGAGAGCCCTGGGTGCAATCCCCAGCACTGGGGGGGGGGGGGGGGGGGGGGGGGGGGGGGGGGGGGGGGGGGAAGGAGTGTGTGTGTGTGTGTGTGTGTATATATATATATATATGAAACTAACCAAACTTCTTGGAAGGTACCTTTAATGGGAAGAGTCATCCTATTTGATTGTTTAGAATATGGTATGCACTTTTTCATTATCAAAAATTTTGCTTTTGTGATTCTAATACAGTACTAGTTTCATAGCATTTCTTCCTACCATTTTGATTTGTACCAATGATACCTAATAAGACTATTGGAGTTGAGAATGAGTTGCAAAATCAATAAACTAGGTGATCTGCTAGAATGTAGAACAAATCTCATATTACCATACTACACAGACATTGACAGTTTAATTATCTAGTTCCTTGTCATTACCATTCCTGTTTTTGGAGAAGCACAGCTTTCTCTGGGGTATGACAGAATGATTATAGGAAAATTTTTAATGTGTATTTTAAAAATATTGTTATTTAACAGGTAAATGAAATTGTACTTAATTAATTGATGGGATAACATGTCATGTTTGATATGTGGGATCTTTTAAAATTCAATTATAATAGTTCATTTTTTCATTCTGGGGCATCTAATATATAGTATTCTCATCTGCAACTAGTCACTGCCTTAATTTCTTTTCTTGGTACAAGGGATTGAACCTAGGAGTGATTGAACCTAGGAGTGCTTAATCATGGAACCACATCCCAGCCCTCTTTTATATTTTTATTTTGAGACAGGGTATCAATGAGTTGCTTAGGGCCTTGCTAAATTGCTGAGGTTAACTTTGAACTTATAATCCTTTCCCAGCCTCCCCAGCCACTAGGATTAAAAGCATGTGCCACCACACCTGGCTCAGACCTTTTTGTATTTTATTTAGAGACAGGGTCTTGCTGAGATGCTTTAGGACCTCACTAAGTTGCTGAGGCTGGCTCTGAACTTGAGATCCTCTTGCCTCAACCTCCTGAGCCACTGGGATTTCAGGTGTGTGCCACCGCACCTGGCTGCTGTAATTTCTTTCAGTATAATACATGCATTATTTAAATATAATTTTCACTTTTTTTTTCAATTTGCAATGTTATTATGGTACAAATTAATTTCCTTTATAATATTTGTCTTTTTGTCTAAAATCATTGTGTCCAAGTAGTATAGAGTAAATTAGCCCACCTGCTGAATTCTCAGAGGATTCTGTAGAATTTGAATCAGTGCCAGTTTTGTCTTTCAAGGCTGGTTTAGGAAGAGTCTCGTCTCTATTTTCTTGTGCTTGGCTTTCTTCCTCCTCCTCCTCACCATCTGGGAACTCCCACTGAGACTCGCCCGACTGTTCGTTTACATAGAAATATCGTCTATGATCCCTAAATCACAAGAAAGAAAACACATGTTTTAAAATCCATTCTCCTACAAAGACACATTCATTTGGTCCTGTCCCAGGACAGCAGTCYGCTCTCACCGGGACGAACCTCTTCTTATGGACTGCTATTCACAAAGGCAACAAAGAGCTTTGACAACTGAGGATGGAGAACCAAGGATAATTCAAAGCTTTTTGCACTGCCAGCAGCTCTGTGAATACAGCCCTGAGCCCTCTCACTCCAACAGATGACTTAGAAAACATCTTTTTTTGTTTTTTGCCAATACATAACAGGGTTCCAAGTTTCATTAATGAAGGGACTCAATCGCCTAGAACACTAATTTCCCTTCCAAAGAAGAGAACAACGAAGTTTGTGAAAGGTGACTCTTCCCCTCTTGGACCGTGGAATTCACATTTCATATTCTTGATATCAAACACAGTGAAAGCTAAAGAGAGGGAGAGGATCTGGGAGCTGAAAAATAAAAGAGCAAAGATTTCAAATAATGAAAAAAAAAAATCAAGAAAAGCCAAATATAAAAAGAAATGTTTTCATCTGACCTGCTGGCAGAGGATAGTAATCTTGTTCTTCATTCACATCTTCAGCCACGAAGTTTTCCTTAACTTCACCGAGGTTAATCAGGAGTAGTTGCTTCCAGAGGTCCTGTAAAGCGCACAGAGCTCTCGCATGCGCTTAACCCCCAAGCCCGCCCTACTCCGTGCAACACTCTGGAGTAAAAACCGGCTTTGTCCAATCTTGGGAAAAAATCCGTTACATGGAACACTTTAAACATTGCTTTTTGTTTCTCCAATGTGTGGCTGGCCCAGACTCTGCTTGCGATGCTTTGCCTGCCCAGCATCGCTAACTGCAGCTGCTTTCAGTCTCCAGACAGGCTGTCATGTCGTCAGGTGGTGGTGATCACAAATCATGTCTGAGATGTCAAAGGTGAAAGGTGAAAAGGGGAGAAGAGTGCGTACCTGTCCCAGTGGCAGGACCAGCCTTTAGGAGTGGCGTTTATTTCATACTGTTTTAGTTGTTCTGCTGCATCCTGAAGTTTTCGTTTAAGGTAGTTTCCATTAAGAGCCCCTTCCCGCCAGTCTGCAATTCGAGTCTAGAATCAATGGAGGAAAAAAGAAAACATTTATTATGATGTCAGGAGACAGAGGTAAAAGGAACATAAATATTCTACTCTGAGAGAGTATTGCTACACTCCAGACCAAAGAAAATAAGAAATCCCATCTTTTGTTGTTGTTGTCATACTAGGGATCAAACATAGGAGAACTTTATCACTGAGCTACATCCTTAAGACACCCCCTACCCCCCTTTTGAGACAAGGTCTAAGTTGTCCGATTTGGTATCAAACTTGTGATCCTCTTATTTGCATTGTAGTGTTCTGGAAAAAAAAAATGGGACCTGATTCTACTTTTTAAAAATATTTTTTAGTTGTAGTTGAGAACAATACATTTTATTCATTTATTTATTCACTCATTTATTCATTCATTTATTTTTATGTGGTGCAGGGGATCGAACCCAGGGCCTCACAAGTTCTAGGTGAGCACTCTACTGCTGTGTCACAACCCCAGCCCTTCTAATTTTTTATTTTTTAAGTTCATTTTCTTTCCTTTTCTATTTTTGTGGTGCTGGGAATTGAACCCAGGGCCTTGTGCATGTGAAGCAAGCACTCTACCAACTGAACTATATCCCCAGCCCCATTTGTTTTTTAAAACCTTTATTTTATTTGCTTATTTTTGCTGGGGATCGAACCCAGTGCCTCATGCATGCCAGGCGCTCTACCACTGAGTCATAACCCCAACCCCTCTAGTTTATTTTTTACTTATTTATTAAGAATTTTTTAATTGATTTTTTAGGTGTAGATGGACACAACACAATGCCTTTATTTTTATGTGGTGATGAGGATCGAACCCGGGTCCTGCCCGTGCTAGGCGAGCGCTCTACCGCTGAGCCACAATCCCAGCCCCCTCTAGTTTATTTTTATACTGCCAACTTTTTATTATCTTTGAAAGTGAGTAGTTCTGTCTTCCTCTCTGGATTTTATTAAGATTGATTACCCCAATGATTTTAATTTTTATTTTATTTTTATGATTTGGGGATGAACCCAGGGATGCTGTACATCTCAGCTAAATCCCCATCCCATTTTATTTTGAGACAGGAACTCACTAAATTGCCCAGGGTACTTTGGAACTTACAATCCTCCTGCCTCATCTGCTCAAGCACCACCATGCCCAGCACATTAACTTTTATTTTTAAAAATTGTTTTAACTTTATTTTATTTGTTTTATTGGGTTTTTTTCTTTATATGATGCTAAGAATCAAACCCAGTGCCTCACTTGTGCTAGGCAAGTGCTCTACTGAGCCACAACCCCAGCCCCAGCACGTTAACTCCCACCCACCTTAATAGATGATTCTTTCAATTTGATGTAACTTAGTAATCAAAATTAAAGGTTCAGTTATTGGCTGGGGGAGACCAGAGACAGAGGGACGTTGGGGAAGGAAAGGGAAGAGAAGAAGAGAGAAGATACGTGAGGAGACAGGAAAGGAAAGAGCAGAGCGGAGCAGAACAGATTCAGGCTTAAGAAAATCAGTCAGTTTCCTTAGGAATTCCTTCCCTAATCTTACCCTACCATCATGAAAAGTATGCAGGTAACAAATATGACTCAATTTTTATTTTGAAAGATTTACATGCTTTAATGATTATGAAGAACTTTTTTTCTGCAGTACTGGGAATCAAACCCAGGACCTCAACATGCCAGGCAAGCACTCTACTACTGAGTCACATTCCCAGTTTTTTATAAAGTACTTTTAATATGGACTTAGAGCTGGGGCTACAGCTCAGTGGCAGAGTGCTTCCCTAGGACATGTGAGGCACTGGGTTGGATTCTTAGCATCACATAAAAAAATTAACTACACACATACACACACACACACACACACACACACACAAAAAAAAAAACTTTTAAAAAAGGTCTATCAACAACTAAAAAAAATGTTTTAAGAAAAGTGGGGAGCTGAGGATGTGGCTCAGTGGTGAAGATGCCCCTAGGTTCACACTCCTTAGTACCAACCAAAGGGCTAAGGATGTGGTTCATTGGTAAAGCACCCCTGGGTTCTATCCCTGGTACCAAACAAAAAGCATATGCCCACTGATGGTGCTCCAAGCATCATAATTATGAACAAACTCTTAGTATTCACATTCTAATTACATTTTTTWAAAAAAATGTTTATTTTTCAGTTGTGGGTGGACACAATATTTATTTCATTTTTAAATGGCGCTGAGGATCCAACCCAGTGCCTCATGTGTGCTAGGTGAATGCTCTACCACTGAGCCACAACCCTAGACCCTCTAATTACATTTTTGCCTAGAAATAGTTTATTTCCTGGGTTGATGAATACAAATCAAGGTTAAACTGTAAATTTAAGGTTTGGGAAGTAGCTCAATGGTACAGCATGCACAGGCCCTGGGTTTACTCCCTACCACCACAGGAAAAAAAGCAGCAGCAACAACAACAACAACAAGACACTAAAATTTAGGAATTACACAGGATTACAGTGAATTCTTGGTTATCAAAAAACTCATGTAGCTTTGGGATTTTCAACTGGTTAATATTTATGATGTGTGGAAAAGCACGAAACACACTACAATCTCAAATCACACCAAATGGAATGCTGTATAAGCAGGATCTTATACTACATGATCAACTAAGCTCCTTGTGACTGGATGACTTTGTTCTTTGCTTTTGATTTTGTTTCCTATAGTGCACATATTAACTTTTAAAAAGCAGAAGCTGTTTTTTGTTTTTGTTGTTTTGTTTTTTCTTTGGTACTGAGGACTGAGGACAGAACTAAGGGGTACTCGACCAGTGAGCCATATCACCAGCCCTATTTTGTATTTTATTTAGAGATAGGGTCTCACTGAGTTGCTTAGTGCCTTGCGGTTGCTAAGGCTAGCTTTGACTTTTGAATTCTCCTCTCTCAGCCTCCTAAGCCACATGTGCCACCATTCCTGGCCAGAAGCCATTAAAAAAAAAAAAAAAAAAAATCAACAAAATCCCTTTAGGGGCTGGGGAATGTGGCTCAAGTGGTAGAGCACTCACCTGGCATGCGTGAGGTACTCGGTTCGATCCTCAGTGCTACATAAAAATAAAATAAAGATATTGTGTCCACCTTCAACTAAAAAAATAAATATTAAAAAAAAAAGCCCTTTAGGATTTAAAAGAAAACTAGAGAGATTCCTAATACAGAATTATCATTCAAACACTGTTGAAACCAAAAACATTGAAATTACCTCAGTCTGTAAGAGCAGCACGTGAAAGTTGGAGATGGACTGTCTATTAATGCCTAGGAATTCAAATTTACTTGTCAGGGTATTTGCCAGTTCTCCAATTTGAAACTGCAATGCAGGAAGGAAAGGGGGAAAAAAAAAAAGGAAAAAAAATAGAATCAGCATTATTTCTTTTATCATGTGAAATCTTATTTCCTTACTTGTTAAAGAAATTTCGATAATTTGTACTATTAAGCTACATCCCTAATCTTTGAACAGCAGCTTCTAGTTGTGCAAAGATAAAATTCTAATTTATAGTAAAAAAAATCATATTAACAGTTATATTATAATGACAGGTCTATAGAAATCAAATACTAATCTACTCACACTTCATAATACATACTAATACAACAAGAAATTCAATAGTTGAAAATAGATCCCAATCTTAATAACAGATGAAATCATAGGAAGAATTAGAATTGTGGTTATCAGAGGCTGAAGCAACAGGGAAATGGAGATATGGTCAAATAATATAAACTTTTAGGCATAAATCAGTTCTGGGAATCTAATAATACAGCATGGTGAGTACAGTTAATACTGTATTACTAGGCAGGTGCAGTGGTGCATAACCATAATCCCAGTGCCTCAGGAGGCTAAGGTAGGAGGATCACAAGTTTGAGGCCTAAGCAACTCAAAAGATAAAATAAAAACAACAGAAACCTGTATTATTTAATTGAAATTTGTTGAGAGAATCTAAAATGTTCTTACCACTCAACCCTCAAAAATAAAGAAACCTCGGGGCTGGGGTTGTGGCTTAGTGGTAGAGCACTTGCCCAGCATGTGTGAGGCACTGAGTTCGATCCTCAGCACCACATAAAAATAAATAAATAAAAGAAAGGTATGTGTTAATCTACAACAACAACAACAACAACAACAACAAATTGTTTTAAATAAAATAAAGAAAGAAACCTATGCTGGGGTTATGGCTCAGTGGTAGAGTCCTTGCCTAAGATGAGTGAGGCCCTGGGTTTGATCCTCAGCACCACATTAAAAACTATTTAAATAAATGGTAAATTCTTTAAAAAAAAATAAAAAGAGAAACCCGTGAGGTAATGGGTAGGTTACTTAGTTGCTTTGTGGTAATCATATCACACTGTATACATTTAACATAACATTGCACTATAATACATATAAATATGTAATAGATGTAAATACATAATTTTTGTTATTTATATCAAGAAATCTAAGAAAAACATACCGAATGATATAATTCTATTATCCAAATTTTCATTTATTCATTACTAACTGCTTATACTAGCCACAGGATAAAACCTTAAATAGAGGCTGAGGCAGGAGGATTGCAAGTGCAAAGCTGGTCTCAGCAATGGCAAGACACTAAGCAACTCTGAGACACTGTCTCTAAATAAAATATTAAAAAATGGGGCTGCTGAGTGCCCGARTTCAACCCCCAGTACTCCCCAAAAATTTATTAGTTGTTCATTCATTCATTCATTTATGTGTGGTGCTGAGAATTGAACCCATGGCCTCACACATGCTAGGCAAGTGATCTACCACTGAGCTGCAACCCTAACCTCTCAAATAAATTCTTATACATCTTCTACATGGTTGAACACTAACTGGTGATTAAACTCTTTATAAAAAGACAAAAGAATACACTAAATGGTTTTTCCAACACACTACACTTAAAGCAACAATGTAGTGGGCCCTCCATATCTATATTCAACCAATTATAGATTGACTATGTGAAAAATAATTTGCTCCGTATACCACACAAACTTCCTTTTCTTGTCATTCCCTAAACAATACAGTCCAACTAACTGCATAGCATTTACCAATTCCCCATTAATACTGAGGGATGACAATACTCACCTGATTCAATTTTCCTCAAGAAATTATGCTAGAAATGCAATTAGAAGCAAATGTGCCTTTGTTTAAAGACAAGTCTTTCGTGCATAAATTAAATTTGACATTTAGTCTTTTAAGAACTTCCAAAGAGGGGCTGGGGTTGTGGCTCGGTGGTAGTAAGGTGCTCGCCTAGCATGCATGAGGCACTGGGTTCGATCCTCAGCACCACATAAATATAAGATATTGTTTCCACCCAAAGCTAAAAAAAAAAAAAAAAAAAAAAGAACTTCCAAAGACACACATATACACATATATACATTTTTTTTTCAGTATTGGGAGTGAAACTTAGCACCTTCAACATGCTAGGCAAGCACTGTACCACTAAGCTACATCCCTAATCCTGAGAACTACTGAGAACTGAGAAGCCAACACTGATAAGCTGCTACTTCTTTTCATAGAAGGATTAGCTACAAACTAATTAAGTGCTTTGAATTTTCAGATAATTTCTCAGCACCACACCAATCCTGTAATTCCTTATAGCCTTATGACTTTTTAACCAAATAAAGTGAAAAATTTAGGTTTAGAGACAGTAAAGCTTTGTTACTTGATAATACAAAGTAGTTTAATCATTGACTTAAAAAAAATTTGTTAAATTACATTAAGAAATATACCTACTTTCAAATCTTGTTCTTCTTCTACTTTAGGTGTGGTTTGTACTTTTATTTTCTCTGAGGATTCTTCCGTTTCTATCTCTTTGTCTGAATTTTCATCTATTTTTTCTGAATTTTCAGCACCAACTGCTAAAAAAGAAAACATGAAATTAAACCAAAAGAACCAATGCCAAAGAGCGCCATAACACATTTACTTCTCCCTGTAGCAGAAATAACTCAAAGAATCGATTTTCTATTCTTTGCCCATTTTCCTTACTTGTTGAAATTCCGATAATTTGTCACTATCTTTATATAAACTACTACCTTTATGAAGCCAAAACTTTATCTTTTCTTAAAATGTGTCTATGAATAAAATGTGTTCTACCACATTAGCCTATAATTTCTTCTTTCCCTTTCTCCTTACCTATCTTTTCTAATATTTTCTTTCAGTACTCTATTGCTTACAAAAGATGAATAACAAACCTGGGATACATAAGAATTCTTTACCAACTTGGGTAGGGCAGGGAGAAGCTTTCAAAATTAAAGCAGAAAAAAATTTTTATGTTTATTTTTTAGTTTTCAGTGGATACAATATCTTATTTATTTATTTTTAATATTTACTTTTCAGTTTTCGGTGGACACAACATCTTTATTTTATTTTTATGTGGTGCTGAGAATTGAACCCAGTGCCTCACACATGCAAGGCAAGTGCTCTACCACTGACCCACAACCCCAGCCCCCTAAAGCAAATTAATTGTCAACCACTCATTTTCCTTCCTGAGCCACTTAAGACCTGTAGATAAATTAGTCAGGAGCAGGGGTATCCACCTAGTCCCACAGCTACTTGGGAGGCTAAGGCAGGAAAATCACTTGAGTTTGAGTTTCAGACAGTCTGGGCAATATAGTAAGATTGTGTCAATGTAAAAACAAACCAAAACAGAACAGATTTACCACCAACAAATTAAAATTCTCTCTGTCCCCCCCTCTCAAAAAAAAAGAATAAAGCTAGGCATAAAGCTACTCAGGGGACCAAGGGAGGAGAATCACCAGTTCAAGTGCAGCCCGGGCAACTTATGAGACCCTGTTTCAAAATGAAAATAAATGTACTACCAAAAAAGAAAACAGCTTTAAAACTTAACATTTGGCTCCTCTTGGGTATTTTTCTTTTTAACTAAGCTTTGTAATTTTAAAAAATATTTAACACAGGGAAGATCTGTGGATATATGTGTCTATAATCCCAGCAAATCCAAAGCCTGAGACAGGAAGATCGCAAATTCAAACCCAGCCTCAGCAACTTATGAAGACCTTGCTTCAAAACACAAAATTTCAAAAAAGGCTGGGAATGTAGCTCAGTTGTAAAGCACTGCAGGGTTCAATCAAACAAAAACAAAGACAAATAACAAAAAAACTCATCATTTTGAATAGCTTTTAAGAGACTAAAACATGCCAGGTACAGTGAGTGGTACACCACTATGCCCAGTTACATTTTCAAATCAAAACAAAACCTTTCTACTAGACCCACTTATTAACTTATAACACAATCACATTTTAGAAATCTTATATCTAGTGGCAGGTACAAGAATCGAACAATTCTAGGCACCAGTATAAGACTGGAATGTTTCTGAGGGCAGTTAGGCAGGATCTATTGCATTAAAATGGACACATGCCTTGACCTAGCAATACACAACTAGTTATCTACGTTGTAGTGGCAATAAAATATACTAGAATGCTTACTGTGAAAGCCCTTAGTAAATGTGTACAATACATACAATTTAAAGAACAAGGGGCTGGGGTTGTGGCTCAGCAGTAGAGTGCTCACGTAGCATATGAGTGAGGTGCTGGGAACGATCCTCAGTACCACATAAAAAATAACAAAATAAAAGTATTGTGCCCAACTATAACTAAAAAATAAATAAATAAACAAATAAAATAAATAAAGCGGGCAAGGCCAGGCATAAAGCCACTCAGGAGACTGAAGCAGGAAAATTGTACATTCAAGTACAGCCTGGGTAACTTTTGAGACCCTATCTCAAAAATAAATGATTTTAGGGCTGGGGATATAGCTCAATTGGTAGAGTACTTGCTTTGCATGCACAAGGCCCTGGGTTCAATAACTACCACCACAAAAAAAAAAAAAAAAAAAAAAAAAAGGTTTTGCTGGGTGCGGTGGTACATGCCTGTAATCCCAGCAGCTGAGAAGGCGAAGATAGAAGGATCACCGGTTCAAAGCCAGCCTCAGCAAGAGCGAGGCACTAAGCAACTCAGTGAGACCCTGTTTCTAAACAAAATACAAAATAGGACTGGGAATGTGGCTCAGTGGTCAAGTGCCCCTGAGTTCAATGTCTGCCATGCAATCAATCAATCAATCAGTCAATCAATGACTTTGATCCCCAGTACTACCGAACAACACTCAAGTAACTACAACCCAGCTTAATAGAACACTGCTAGCACCGCTGAAGCTCCCTATGTCCATCACCTCCATGAGCAACATAACCTCTACCCTGATGGTATCAGTTGTTACCTTCTTTAATTTCATCATAAACAAATATTTAAGAAAAACATTTTTTTGCTTATTTTCTGACTTTATACACAAAATATCAACATTTGCATTACTCTGTGTTTTTTTTTGGTTCAAATTATTTTTAAGTTGAATCAGTGTTGCTAAAAAGAATGAACTACATGGTTCATTTTTCATTGCTGTTTAGTATGCCTCTCTAAAAATACAAAATTTCCCCTTCTACCTTTTTCTTGGGGGTACTGAGGATTGAACTCAGGGGCACTCCACCACTGAGCCACATCACCAGCCCTATTCTACATTTTATTTATTTAGAGACATGATCTCACTGAGTTGCTTAGCTCCTTGTTACTGCTAAGACTAGCTTTGTACTTGATTCTCCTGCCTCAGCCCCCAGAGCCACATTATTACAGGCRTGCACCACAACACCTGGCTCATAATTTTACCTTTGATGGTTATTTGAATAGCCTATAGGGATTTTTGACAACACAAATATGCCATTATTCTTCAGCAGTGCTCGAGATCGCACAAAGCTTTGAATATGCTATGCACGGGCTCTGTCTCTGAGCTACAACCCTAGTCCTTTTTATTTTTGGGGGGTGCCAGGGATAACTCAGGGGGCACTCAACCACTGAGCCACATMCCACAGCCCTATTTTGTATTTTATTTAGAGATAGGGTCTCAACCAGTGGCTTAGTGCCTCACTTTTGCTGAGGCTAACTTTGAACTCACGATTCTCCTGCCACCACACCTGGCTTATTTTTTATTTTGAGACAGGGTCTTGCTAAGTTACGCAGTTTGGCTAGAACTTTCAATCCTCCTACTTTAGTCCCACCTCCCTGTATCTGGTATTACACGTATGCACCACCTCATTTGGCCCAGAATTATTTTTTTAAGAAAAAAATATGTGGGCTGGGGATGTGGCTCAAGAGGTAGCATGCTCGCCTGGCATGCATGCGGCCCGGGTTCGATCCTCAGCACCACATATAAACAAAGATGTTGTGTCTGCTGAAAATTAAAAAATAAATATTAAAAATTCTCTCTTTAAAAAAAAAAACACATTAAAAAAAAAGAAAAAAATACGGAGGCTGGGATTGTGGCTCAGTGGTATAGCACTGAGCTAAACCCAATGTGAGGCATTGGGTTTGACTCTCAGCACCACATAAAAATAAAGGCATTGTGTTGTGTCCATCTACCCCCCGCCAAAAAAAGGTAAAACATCAACACATATAAACAAATACAGATAAAGGAAAATTTATGAACACAACTATAGCACTCGGTGGTTAAAAACAATGGTTTTTAAAACCTTAAGTGAAACAAGTATTGCCTAAAAATCTATATGACATAGTCTCATATATGGTGAAATGTACATATGCAAACATGAACATATTCATACATACACAACTATGAATGCGTATATAAAGAAAGAGGAAAAGGTTTAAAAAGAAATATGTACATAAAATAAACTATCGCAGGATAGGGGATGAGAATAAAAGAAATTATTTTAGAATTTTACTTCATGTTCTTTTATACTGATGACTGGMAAAAAAAAAAAGTCAAATAAGAATGTCCACATTTGTTATCACCAGCGATTAAACATTGAGCAATATCACCAGTTCTTTTATTTTTTAAGACACGGTTTTGCTAAGTTCCTTAGGGCCTAAGTTGCTAATTCTGGCCTTGAACTTGTGATCCTCTTGCCTCAGCCTCCCAAGCCACTGGGATTACAGTAGTGTGCCACTGTGTTGGGCATCAGTGTTTTTATTTTTTTTAACCATGATCTATAAAAGTACTGAAAAAGTTTGGTGTTCAGATCATACCACTAAATTTGTACTGCAGAATTATGGGTCAAATGGACATTAAAACATTAACTTGTGCTAACTTCAGCTGCACATATACTAAAATTGGAACAATACAGAGAAGGTTAGCATGGCCCTTGTACAAGGATGACATGCAAATTGGTAAAGAAAAGAAAAAAAATTAACTTTATTCAAAGCTCTCTACCAGCATGGAAAAATGTAGTAGAACTTCTTCCATCCTACTTGTAATAAAGATAACTTCCTAGTGACAGGATCAAACTATCTACCTAACTGCACACAGGCTGGGCAAGAGGTAGACCTATCTACCTTGCTTACCAACTAGAAAGAGTAAGCAAAGGAGAACCTACGGCCTCCAATTTTTATGGCAACCAATAAAAAAAAAGGGGGGGGTCAGCCTTATTTTATACTTTTGAGGGAGAAGTAACTCCCACTCAATGGATGACAGCCTCAAATTCTTAATGAGACATGGAAGGAGATTACTTCCCAGCACTTTCACTAAAGCATAAAAAATGCTATCTCGYGGGCTGGGGATATAGCTCAGTTAGTAGAATGCTTGCCTTGCACGCTTAAGGCCCTGGGTTCAATCCCTAGCACAACAACAACAACAACAAAAAATCTCCATTTTTTGGCTAAAGAGGAAGCGGGGAGATTAAAAAAGGGATTCCCCTCAAAACTGTCAAATTGTGAAGTTTAATGTGGGCGGGGATATAGCTCAGTAATAGAGTGTATGTCTTATGTGCACATGCCCTGGGTTTGATTCCCAACAYCACAAAAACAATTAATAAAATAAATAAAGTTGAACATGAAGCATAAATTACCATTTTCTCCATTTTCTGGAGTCTCTCGTCCAGTTTTGCTAGAACTCCGGCTGTTAGATTCTGGACTGGTAGCACGAACAAACATCTTCCATTTTCCTCTTTTAGACATAAGTCTACGCATTCCATCCTGAGATGCTGGCTGGCTGATATCAGAACGTGGACTAGACCCTGACACACTACCATCTCCTTCCTCCAAGGCTCGTAATTCTGCCTACAAAGTGTATGATGATAAAGTTAGCATCATTAATGCATTACCAACATTTAAGCATTTGTAAGTCGTGAAAGTGATAGCTTTGACTACATTCTTTTTTTTGCAGTTCTGAGGATTGAACCCAGGGGAGTTCTAACACTGAGCTACATTCCTAGTCCTTTTAAAATTTCATTTTGAGGGCTGGGATTGTGGCTCAGTGGTAGTGCTTGCCTAGCACATGTGAGGCCCTGGGTTCGATCCTCAGCACCACATAAAAATGAAGTAAAGATATTGTGTTCAGGGTGGGGGATATGGCTCAAGCGGTAGCGCGCTCGCCTGGCATGGGTGCGGCCCGGGTTCAATCCTCAGCACCACATACAAACAAAGATGTTGTGTCTGCTGAAAACAAAAAAAAAAAAAATATATAAATATTAAAAAAATTCTCTCTCCTCTCTCTAAAAAAAAAAAGATATTGTGTTCACCTACAACTAAAAAAAATATTTTAAAAAAATGAAAAATAAAATAAAATTTCATTTTGGAAATGGTCTCACTAAGTTGCAAAGACTGGCCTTGAACTTATGATCTTCCTGCTTTAATCCTCCAGAGTCACTGGGATTACAGACATGTGCCACTTTACCTGGCTTTTCTTGGAATTTAAAACATTTTAAGAAGCGGAAGAATTTCTCAATACTGTTTTCTATCACAACTGAACATTATGCCCCATATCCTACTGCTAATTAGTAACTGTATGTTCACAATTATAGTAGCAAGCATTGATTGGGGGGATTGGCTTTACAGAACCACAAATATATTAATTTTCACAAATGTATACCCAAAATAGAAAAAGCTTAACATTTTTATTATTATTTTTGAAAAAGCTTAACTAGTTCTTTCCCATAAACTACTATATATCCTGCTAAGCTCTTGCTTCTCACTGGATCTCTTAAGGCAGCAGGAGATGAAATTGTCCGAAAGACAAAGAATGCAGAAAAGAGGTAAAAATGAACTTCTCAATGAAAAACGTTTCTGAGAAGCATCTTTAAAAAAAGAAAAGTACCATGGGACTAGGGTGGTGGCTCAGCAGTAGAGCACTTGCCTAGCAAATGCAAGGCCCTGGGTTCCATCCTCAGCACCACATAGAAATAAAGAAAGTATTTTGTCCAACTACAACTAACAAAGATTAAAAAAAAAAAAAAAAAGGTAAAGTACCAGAAATTTTAAAAATTTCTCAATTCTGCTATTTTACAAGGATCATATATTGTTTGTTAAAACTCAAGTTTTTACTGCAATAACTTAACCTAACATACTAGATACAGTGAGAAAAATAAACATACCAATCCACCCAGTAATGGCTACTGAGTATAATGATCCCCAAATCTGATATTAAGGGGAAAAATGTATTTTAAACCTTCAAATCTTACTTTCTTCCGTTCCAAAACGAGCTCCAACTCAAGGGTATCTTGTTCCTCCTCTTCTTCACTTTCTCCAGATTGAACAACACTACAAAGATCCTCCTGAGAAGGGTCTTCTATACTGTCCAACATAACTTCCTGTGGCTTTACCGTTGTCACCGCTTCTTCTACTGTTGTACTAGCTTCTTTCACCTCTGAAATTGGCTCAACTTCTTTACAAATTACTTTTCTTCTCCATCTTTCTTCTTCCTCTTTTATTCCTTCAGGCAATAAAGGAGCAAGCAGGGAGGCTGCCACCCCTTTCTTTTCCTCCTCACTATTTGAGAGAGCCTGGATTCCTTCATTTACTTCCTATGAAGAATAAAATCATTTAGTTTCAATTCTCAAGAAATCTCCCCAGGTATATAATCAACAGTTCACATTAATTTTATTTTTGTTCACTGGATACTCATAAAAAGCACTTATATCCAATAGATTAATGTACATAATGGAAACATTGTTACTTTAAAAAGGCAATGGTTGAACTAGAAACCTATTCTAAGTGGGACTCAAATATATCCTACCCCTAATTCTCAGACAGTCAAAGGACAAATAAGAAGCACAGGCAGACTTAAGAAGATCAGTATTTTGTTAGCTCAACACATAACTGAATAAATCTTCACCTTGCTCTTCTGTAAGATGAGAAAACCTCACAGGTATGCTGTGAAAGCCAATTTAGAAAAACGTGAAATATTTCCAAAGTGAAATGTATAATTATGCTTAAAACTGTTGATTTCTGATCAGGAAAATACTTGTTCTACACCTTTGTCCTAGAGTTATAAAGATTAAAAATATTATTATTTACTATCTTTAATTTCTTGCAGTGCTGAGGATGGAACCCAAGGTCTCATACACGAGGCAAGTGCTCTACTACTGAGCTATATCCCTACCCATTATTTTTTTGTTGTTGTTTTTGGGTTTTTTGGGTACTGGGGATTGAACTCAGGGGCACTCAACCACTGAGCCACATTCCCAGTCTTTTGTATTTTGTTCAGAAATAGGGTCTCACTGAGTTGCTCAGTGCCTCGCCGTTGCTGAGGCTGGCTTTGAACTCGCAATCCTCCTGCCTAAGGCTCCGGAGCGGTTGGGATTACAGGCCTGCGCCACCAAGCCTAGCAAAAGTATTTTTTGAGCCGGGACTGGTGGTGCACACCTTGCCAAAGCATGAAGATCACAAGTTTGATGCCAGCCTCAGCAACTCAGCAAGACCTTGCCTCAAAATAAAAAATAGAGCTCAGTGGTAAATACCCCCGGGTTCAATCTTCAATATCAAAAGGTACTTTGTCATACAAAAAAAAAAAAATCACCATTTTAAAATTTGGGCTTAGTTGTAACTGAACACACTTTCACTCTAAAAAATACAACTCCCTTTTCTTTCTGATGGTGATTTAAAATACTTAGGTTTCACTAGTACAGGCTGGGCATCCCCAACTTCTGCTCCCAAATCTGAAAATTTGACTGCTATGATGCCACAAACAGAAACTCCACACCTGACTTCAAGTGGTGTTAGTCAAAACACAGGCACATAAATATTGTGTAAAATTACTTTTAAGGCTATTACATAAGGTATATATGAAACACAAATGAACTGAGTTTAGACTTGGGTTCAATAACCAAGATATCTCCTTATTTATACGTGAAAACCGAAAAAATCAAAAAATACTCTTCTAGTTCCAACCATTTTGGATAAGAAATACTCAATCTGTAGTAGTTTTTAATTTGTAAAATAATTGATCTTTCCATTAAAAAAAAAATCCTACATGGAATCCTAAATTAATAGACCAATTCTATCTGAAGTGGGGATGGAGACTACAGCCCTGCCTCCCTGGCTGGTCCTGAATTCTTCTTAAAGACCCAAGGAGCTTCAATGGCACACTAATACCCTAAAAGAAGCACTGAACTGAATTAACTGCTGTAAATGCTAAATAATACACAGGAAGAGATTTAAGTAAAACTAAAACAACACATTTGTGTTGTAAATATAATCCACATCAAGTTTATTAGACTAGAAGAAAAGGAAACAGGCTAAGTTACAACACTGACCTTTTTAACTTCTCGTTTAGCTATGCCTGGTCCACTTTTACTACTGGAAACAGGAATTGTTTTCTCCTTTGTATACGTGTCTGTATTTACCACAAAACTACCTTCAGCACCTGTTACAGAACTGTAAAAATAAAATTAAAAAAAAAATTTAGCAAGAGAAAGAGAAGGCAAAAACAATAAGACTAATTTCCTTCAAGGTAATTTAAGTTTCCTCTTACCTGGGCTGGTAATGTTGTAATCCCTGAACCTGAGTGGCAAGATATTGGGGTAACTCCCAAGTTACTTCATTTGTTTGTGTGTTCCAATAATAATAGCATCCTGTGTTCTCATCCCAAACTTCTTGCCAGTCTCCCATCTCAATTCCCACTAAAGGAAAATAAAACAAATTTTAAGAAATACAAACCCCTCCACATATCTGACTTACATCAAGTTAGTTCTAAAGCCATAACAATCTAACAGTTTAAGTTTTCAAACTTGGTACTATTAGGGGCTGGGGTGGTGACTCAGTGGTAGAATGCTCGCCTAGCATGAATGAGGCACTGGGTTTGATCCTCAGCACCACATAAAACTAAAAAATAAAGATATCATGACCACCTAAAACTAAAAAAATAAATTAAAAAAAAAAAAAAAAAGCTTGGTATTTTCAGTTGCTAGGTCTTTGTTGTGTGGGCAGTCCTAGATAGATAATTTAGCAGCATCCTGGGCTCTGATAACCAAAGCTATTTCCAGGCACTGTCAATTGTCCCTTGGGTGCAATATCACACACACATAACTGAGAACCACTGGTCTAACATCAAGTTATTATTTCCTCAGTAAAATGGAGGCAATGATGTACACCTGTAATCCCAGTGATTTGTGAGGCTGGGCAAGATAATTATTAAATTTGAGGTCATCCCAGGCAACTTTGTGAGACGCTATCACTGGGTATGTAGCTCAGTGACACAGTGCTCTTGGGTTTAATCCCTAGTGGTGATGGGGACTGAACCAAAGAGCACTTACCACTGAGCTACGTCCCCAGCTCCCTTTTCTTTTCTTCTTCAATAAATCACTAAAGCCAACCTTGAACTTTCAATCCTCCTGCCTGAGCCTCCTGAGTAACTGGGATTACAGAAGTGTGCCACTGCATTCAGTCTTTAGAATTATTTTCTCAACAAAGATTTAGCTAGCTACCTTTGCATAAAAAAGTTAAAAAAAAAAAAATCACTTTGCTACTTCAAAAATGTATTCTGAACCGGGCATGGTGGCACACACCTATAATCCTAGTTGCTCAAGAGGCTGAGACAGGAGGATTGCAAGTTCAAAGCCAGCAAAAGCAAGATGATAAGCAACTCATTGAGACTCTGTCTCTAAATAAAATACAAAATAAGGCTAAGATATGGCTCAGTGATCGAGGGCCCCCGGGTTCAATCCCCAGTATCAAAACAAAACAAAAAATATATTCTGAGGTCTGGGGTTATAGCTCAGGGGTGGAATGCTTGCCTTGCCCCTATGAGACACTGGATTTGATCCTCAGTACCACATAAAAATAAATAAGGGAATTGTGTCCATCTACAACTTAAAAAAAAAGTACTCTGAACCCCCAAATATTCTAAAATGACTTATTATTCGCCTGGCATAATATGCTACTGGTTAAAAGGGCAAACAATCACTAAGTTAGAAATTAGATCTGGGCTGGAGATGTGGCTCAGCGGTAGCGCGCTCGCCTGGCATGCGTGCGGCCCGGGTTCGATCCTCAGCACCACATACCAACAAAGATGTTGTGTCCGCCGAGAACTAAAAAATAAATATTAAAAATTCTCTCTCTCTCCCCTCTCTCACTCTCTCTTTAAAAAAAAAAAAAAARAAAAAAAAAGAAATTAGATCTGACAAGTTCTCAGAGATCACTATCCTCTATCTATTATTATCTTGCAAATACTGTATTTAAAAGGCCAGAATMCTACAATCTGGGCCTAAGGATCTGGGCATTCAGTCTTAGGAATGCTAATGTCTAGAATACTTTAAAAACTACACTTAAAAGATTTCTGCAAACAAAGGGTTAGTCCCATTTACCTCCTGCTAGTGAACACTGGGTATCATATTGCCACCCTGGTGTTTGTGTTGAGTCAGTTCCATTTGATGTAGTAGAAGAAAGGGTAGATGTTGCTGCTTCCTTTGGCTCTGGTCGAGGTGGAGTTGGAGGTGGAGCAGAAGCTCCCACAGGAGCTGCAGGCTGAGGAGCTGTTATGGCATCAATCTCCTGCAGAATGAAAAGAGCAACAAATACATCAATGACATGGAAACCAGAAACTTGAAAAAATGGTGAACACTGGAAAAAAAATCCTACATGCACATTATCAGCTCAAAACTGCTTCTAATTACTCAAGCTCCTCAAACCCTTACATTCTCCTTCCTTCCCATTCTACTGAAAGCTTCTTATTGAGAAAGATAGGGAGGGACAGAGCAAGACAGAGGTAAAGAAGGAGAAAGGAGAGGGAAACATCAAGACTGACAAGAATGCTGACCATACTTGGTCCCGGAATGCCTTTAATAACTAAAAAAATCAAGCAAAAGCACCACTAACCGCTAGGAAATTGGCCAGTGTACTATCAATATCAGCTGACTGGTTTCCGTTTGCTTCTTTGGATTGTGCTGGTTTTTCAGAAACATCACTCTCATCATCATCACTGTCAGCATAAGCACCAAGTAAGCATAGACCACCTAAAAACAAAAAAGAAAATCTCAGTAACCAAAATGCCAATATGTACCTAGGAAGTATCTAAAAAAATACACGATACATCTTTAGCCAGAATTTAGGCCAGGGTATAGTAGTGTACTCCAGAGGCTGAGGCAGGAGGACCCCAGGCTAAGAAACTCAGCGAGACCCTGTCTCAAAATTTTAAAAATTAAAAAAAAGGGGGGGGGGCTGGGGTTGTGGCTCAGTGGTAAAGTGCTTGCCTAGCATGTGTGAGGCATTGGGTTCGATTCTCAGCACCACACATAAATAAATGAATAAAATAAAGATCCATCAACATCTAAAAAAAAATTTTTTTTAAATTTTTAAGGTGGCAGGCTAGGAATATATTGCTCAGCAGTAGAATACTTGACTATTATGCCTGAGGGCCTTGGGTTCAGTATCTAGTACTGTCTGCTCCCCAAAACATCCAAGTCATAAATGCATGTACATTCTAATTAAACCTTTGAAAATTAAGCACATGCACTGATAAGGAGGCATGGATTTAAAATAACACCAGGGCTAGGACTGTAGCTCAGTGGTAGAACGCCTGCCTTGCATGAGTGAGGCACTGGGTTTGATCCTCAGCACCACATAAAATGAATAAATAAAGATGTTTTATTTATCTACAACTAAATAAATATTTTTAAAAAATAAAATAAAACCAAAGATTCATGCTCACAATATTGCTGTGTAACATTGCTTCATCCTAGAAAAATAAAACCCTCATAAGAATAAGTGTTAAGACTGCTATTGAGATTCGTTGCTACTTAAAACCTTAGAAAGCAGGGCCATTATTCAGAACCACAGTGCTTAGCAGTTTTTTCCTGAGAAGACTRCTGACTCCTCAAACCTCAACCTGCTTACCTTTTAGTAAACAGAGGCTGAGCAATACTCAGGAGGGGGTATAGGAATAAACACTCGGTTTCTCCCATTACACTCTCAAATCATGCTTTTGACATCAGATGTATTGTGTTTCCCCACACATCAAGCATGCAATCACTTCTGTGGCAAGTGTCCTCGAATTAATTCAATTAAACTCAAGACACTGTACCTGTAAGTAATAATGAGACTCCCCAGGTTCAGAGTTCCATCCCAAAACTGACCCTCATATTTTCAATGCCAACCACAAGCCCCAGATGGTTTTACCTAAAACTTAGGTTCAATTTTTGTGCAGGAACAGCTCCCAGAACTGGTTTATCACACAAAATATGCTTATTACAAAGCATAATGGACACAAATGAAGAGCTACACAGAGTGATGTAGGGGAAGAGGGTTTCCACTCTCCAGAAACCTCCACAGGTTCGACTATCTGGAAACTCTTTACCTTTTCTCTAGCGCCACCCCACCACCCCATTGAACCTAGTATTTATGCCTGTTAGATAAGTGCTCTTGGGGCTGGGGATGTGGCTCAAGTGGTAGCRCGCTCGCCTGGCATGCGTGCGGCCCGGGTTCGATCCCCAGCACCACATACCAACAAAGATGTTGTGTCCGCCGAGAACTAAAAAATAAATATTAAAAAAAAAAAAAAAAAAGATAAGTGCTCTACCATGGGAGTACACCCCCAGCCCTTCCTTATTTTTTCAGACAGGTTCTCCCTAAATTGCATAGGCTAGCCTCAAGTTTGCAATCCTCCTGCTTCAGCCTTCTGAAACTTCTAGACTTGCTCTAGTTCTTCCGGGCTTTTATGGAGGCTTCTTCACATAGGTATGATTAAATCATACCACTGGTGATCAACTTAGCCTTCAGACCATGTCCCTTCTCTATAAGTTGGTGGTTGGCCCCACTTATCCTGAAGCTGTCTAGGGCCTGTCACCCCCATTAATAAACTCGTTAGCATACAAAAACACTTTATCAGGGCTAGGGACATAGCTCAGTTGGTAGACTGCTTGCCTTGCATGCATAGGCCCTGGGTTCAATCCCCAGCACAGCAAAAAAAACACTTTATCACTTTGAAGATTCAAAGAATTTTAAGTTTTATGCCAGCAAAGGGAAACAAAGACAAAATACATAGGCCTAGAGATGTAGCTCAGTGGCAGACCATTTGCCTCCCAGGTAGAGCCCCTAGGTTCAATCCCCAAACAAAACAAAAATCAAAATAAGCTAGGGGCACCTGAAAGCCTATAATCCCAGGCATGTGAGAAGCTGAGGCAAAAGAAATGGCAAGTTTGAGACCAGCCTCAGCAATTTAGGTTTTAAAATAAAAAAGGCTGTAGGCTGGTATAAAGCAAAAGCTGTGCGAGACCCTGGGTTCAATCCCCAATACCAAGAAAAACAAAAGAAAATAAACAAAAACCCAAATGTATATTCACGAAATCACAGTGCCACCCAATTTGCAAATCCAATAACTATAGCAGATAGTAAATTACTTCTTCATAGTAAATTACTTCTCAGGTACATACCCTTCCTTCTAGATAGGCTTCAAATAGTATGCCTTATATTTTCATAATAACCATTTCCTTGCTTTCTCGGTGCTTTTTAACTCCTGAGTCATAGAAACTTAACAGCAACATACCGTTACAGAACCTCTCTTAAAAAACATACTTGGTAGGGTGGGGATGTGGCTCAGCGGTAAAGCACTTGCCCAGCTTGTGCAAGGCACTGGGTTTGAGAATCAACATCACATTAAAAAATAATAACAACAAGTAAATAAGTAAAGGTATTGTGTCCAATTTTAAATTAAAAAAAAAAAAAAAAAAGGCAGGAGGATCACAAGTTCAAAGCCAGCATCAGCATTTTAGCAAGACCCTATCTCAAAATAAAAAATAAAAAAGGTTCAGGATGTAGCTCAGTGGTTAAGTGCCTCTGGATTCAATCCCTGGTACCAAAAACCAAAACAAAAACCAAAAAAAACAACAACAAAACCCCCCACATGGGCTGGGGATGTGGCTCAAGTGGTAGCGCGTTCACCTGGCATGCGTGCGGCCCGGGTTCGATTCTCAGCACCACATACAAAGATGTTGTGTCCGCCGAAAACTAAAAAAATAAATACTCTCTCTTAAAAAAAAAAAAAAAAAAACCCACACACACTCTTGAGTATGCAATTTCGGAGAATTCATGGATCCCTGCAGATCATCTGTAGAACCACGTTAAATACCCCTTTCTCAAAGATGCTTAATACTATTGACTACCATAGTGGTCTTTTGACCTAATTTAATAGAGGCATTCCAAATTTTTTCCTGGGTAATTTCCCATGCATACACTGAAGTTTTCAGTGTGAAAGTACCAGCCTCCCTCCCCAAATATAAATATATATAAAATATACAAATATATATGTAATGGGACTGGAGATGTAGCTCTGTGGTAGAGCACCTCTAGGTTTAATTCCCAATACCACAAAAAAAATAAATAATAAAATTTAACCAAAATAATCTTGGGGAAAAAAAAAAATAGGGCACACGCCTGTAATCCCAGCAGCTCAGGAGACAGGAAGATCGAAAGTTCAAAGCCAGCCTCAGCAACGGGTCAGGTGTTAAGCAACTCAGTGAGACCATCTCTAAATAAAATACAAAATAGGGCTGGGGATGTGGCTCAGTGGTTAAGTGCCCCTGAGTTTAGTCTCCAGTAGCCCCCAACACACACACACCAAAAAAAAAGTAAGATTGGTGCCTAGATGGCTCCTAGGGAAAAAATTAAATTCTATACATCTTCACAATTCTTAGAAGCCTTGAATGACTGTGACAAAAAGGTAATTTTTCACATGAAACATTCAGTAGATGAAACAACCAGACTATACAATGGCAAGAAAGTCTGGTGGTTTGAGAATAGGATGGAAAAGGAAGCCCAGAACAGAGGCAGGAGGACCAGAGACACAAACTTTGCAATTTCACAACTGTTCAGGACAAGTCCTGTCCTTTAGAAAAATTCTTGTTTGCCTGGCCTGGTGGCCACACCTATAATTAATAAGGAGATGGTATGGCAGAAGGATCCTAAGTTCAAGGCAAGCCTCAGCAAATTAGTGAAAACCTGTGTCAAAATAAAAAGGGGGTTAGGGAGAATGGTATTACACGGTTCTGAAATTTCATAACCAAGTTTTAGTGGGAGAATGGTATTACACGGTTCTGAAATTTCATAACCAAGTTTTAGTTTTTCCAACCCACAATGTTGTTCTCTTTCATTTTTTTTTTTTTTTTTAGTTTTAGATGGACACAATATCTTTTATTTATTTATTTGTTTGTTTGTATGTATGTGGTACTGAGGATCAAAGCCAGTGCCTCACAGGTGTAAGGTAAGTGCTCCACCACTGAGCTACAACCCCAACCCCCACACTGTTTTCTTAAGTGACAGATGGTATGAGGGAGGCATAAATATCTATTATTTTAGGTGTCAAATAGTACAAGACATATTCCAAACTAAAAAATATAATTACTACCAATTATAGATTTTTTTTGAGATAATGAATATTTACCCCAGGGTTGTACACATGGTAGGCAAGTGCTCTACACACATGCCACATCCCCAGCCCTTTTTAATTTTGATAGGGTCTTGCTAAGTTGCCTAAGCTCGCCTCCAGTCTGTGATGATACTACTTCAGCCTTCCAGAGGGATTACAGGTGTGTGCTGCCATGCATGGCTCTAAAGAATATTTGAGAGTAAACATGTTTTAATCTCTCAAACTATATAAAGTAGAAAAAACTAACATCTTTGCACTTATAGGGTACCAATTTTATATACATTATTCAGTTTGATACTCAAAATAACTCATGATTATAAGATCCATTTATACATGAATGATGTTGGGCCCAATTAATTGTCTCAAAAGTCTTACAATGAATGCTACCATGAAAGTTTGTTTATGAAACCACTGCAGCAAATATTCCTTGTGATTAAAAAATATTTAATACAAACCATTTTCAGATCCACAGAGTAGATGCTAGAATACCAATCAAGGCAGTGTTAGGAAAGGAACAATATGAAAATATGTTTGGTATCTAAATGTCCCTAAAGAACACCAAGTTAATAGAAGGGCTAGAAAACTAATTACAAAAAAACATTYGAAGAAAAAGTAGTACAAATTATCTGGGTAAAGAGATAAAACATAAATTTTGCATTGCTTAAGATATATTTACCAGGTTGGGGATGTGACTTAGTGGTAGAGTGCTTGCCTAGCATGCACTAAGCCCTGGGATAGAGGACCAACACAGCAAAAGAAAAAGAGTAGTTGCCAACAAGCCCTCACAAACAGAAAGGGTTTGTTTGTGACATTGAGGATTAAACCCAGGGCCTTGCACAAATGTTAGGCAAGCCCTCGACTACTAAGCTACAATCCCAGACCCAGAAAGATTTTAAATTACACTTTAAAGGGGAAATAGAAATTAGCAACAAAGAATTCAGTAAAGCATTCTAACTTAAGATATTCTACAGATGCAAAACAAAACAAAACAAAACAAAACAATTTATACCTGTTGCTTTAACAGCTGTGGGTCTGGTAGTCATGACTGGTTTTGGAGGGTTCTGAGCAACTCTGGGAACCTCCACCACCACTTCCTGTTCATCTGTATTTTAAAAAGGAACAGAAGAAAAACAACTGCAGTTAGCCTGTGGAACAGAAAAACACCAGAGATGACAAATCAATCATAGGTCTGCAGTTTCTGGTCTAGATTCAATCAACTTAAAAACAGGGTGCATCAATGACCCAAATAAGTGGCAGATGAAAAACAGCCATTACCAGAACCTTCCATATGCCTAGTAACTTCAACTTTAAGAATGTGAATACTGCATATAAAAATTACATCCGCAATACTTCAAAATTCAGATACAAAGACAATAAATAAATCTCCAGCYTTTCATGAGGTTTTTGCAACATACATCGCTACTCAATGTCCTGCACGAGTTTTCTTAACGTGATTTATTAATACCTGAATGGTCGGCTTCTTCGGCGCCTTCCTGTGTGCCGACGTCATACAGTTACTCTTAATCTAAATACCATTCCAGGGAGAACCACACAAGTACTTGGGAACCCACTTCTCCAGGAATTTTTGGGATACCTGTTAGTTTGGGGATACTAACGCTTTGTTTGGCATAATAAAAAGGGCGTATTCATTTCTAAAGAGTCTCTATCCCAATTAAAAAAAAAAAAAAACAACCAAAGGACACAGGTGACGTGTAGAAAAGGCCAGGTTCCACCGTCACTAGCCTAGGACACTGAAACTCCCATGTACCCTTTTACGTAATCAAAACCCACCCCGGGACGTTTGGGAGCCCAGGGTGCCTAGGCCTCAGTCGGATTTCAAACGTTCCCGGGGAAAGCCCTCTGCCAGCCACATGCAATGGCGCCTTGGGATGGGCCCGGGCTGATCACGCACAGCTCTGCCGGCCTCTTCCGCCGCCCTCCCCGCAGTCCCCGAACAGGCGGGCCTCGAGAGGGTGGACCTCCCCGCCCGGGCTTCTAACCCTTACGGGGTCAGGGAAGCGCCCCTAGAAGCCTAGGCCGCAAGCCCCGCGCTCGAGTTTCGGACGTCCCAAATAGGCGCACCCTTACCTTCTGAAGGCGAGTCGTCCGCGGCCGCGGAGGCAGTCACCGCGGGTGTCGTCGACGTCGTTGCCGCCGCCGGCGGGGCTGGCTGGTTAGAAGCCGCCGCCGTCGAATCCGGTTCGGTGTCAGGTTCCGGCTCCGGATCCCGGCCCGGCGTGCTGCTGCGGGGACCTGGCGGAGAGAGCTGCAGGATGGGCCTGCGGCCGGGTACCGCCCGGGACTTCTTCCCCATCGCGAGCCCGAGCGCGAGCTGCGAGMGTCGGCAGCCGAAAGGGGCGGGCGTTCGGCGCTGCGCTGCGTAATCAATATTCATGTACCGCGGCACCGCCTTCGGCCAGGATCCGCTTTTAACCGGCGGGGCGCGCGCCTGCGCAAGCGCCCTGGCCACACCCCCACCCCCACCCCCGTCATTCTTTTGGCTCCTCCTCCCCAGCGAATAGGACGGGCTTTATGCAAGGAACGAGGCGATTGGCTGTTTTGACCCAGGTCAGAAACCGGTAGCCAATGGAAAAGGAAAAAGAGTGGGAGTCGAGCCAATAGTGCAGAAGGGCCTACATTTAGAGTGACACAGAGGTAGGGTTCTATCCGTACGCTTTTGCCGAGTCTTTTCTTCACCCTATTGTCCTCCATCTTGTGACTGTTCTCGGCTACCTGTTCGTTGTTCGTTCGTTGTTTGTCCTTTAGAAAACTGTGTTGCTCTTTGGACTCGTTTCAAGTTTTCCTCTGGTTACTGTGGTAACCAGATATAGCAGTGAACATTAAATATGATAATGGATCTCTTAGGTTTTTGCAAATTCTTAAGACCACAAAGATGGTGTCTTGAATTGTGTTGCTTATCAGCTGGAAAGAACGACCTTGTCCTCCCTGGAAGCAAATCACCGAAACTGTTCAGATGGGTTGAAGGAGCCTTATCAGTCTGGTTCCACTAGTAACTTCATCCTCTTAACTAATCTTACATTAATACTCCTCCCTCCCTTACCTCCAGATCCAGCCGCTTGGACCTCTTTGAAATACCCTCACAATATTGGGCACATTCAGTTTTTTTTTTTCCCTTCCTCCCTCTCTAGGGATCAAACCAGTGGTGCTCAACTCTGCCACCGCACTGCATCATTTGACCTGATCCAGCTTCAAGTTGCTTCCATCATACTCCCATATCCTTAATATATCTATTCCACACGTTTGTTATTTCTTTTTTTTTTTTTT